CTTCTGGCCCTCTCCAAGCTCCCCTTAATGATCCTTTTAGGGTTCTCTGGGTTGTGATCTGTGGCTGGAGGCCATGGCAAGACATTTTTCACAGAGGTCTCTTTTCCCGAAGAAGGTACTTATGGTGAGTTCCTGAGAGATAACAACAGTCTCGCTTGTGAAACCTGAGTTATGGGACTTTTTTCCCCCAGTGTGTTGCAGTATCAAATCAGGCAGGATATCAAGATTTTGTTTTTGTTCTCTTTTGCTTTTACCTTACAAAAACAGTTGCACATGTTGTTCTGTCCCATGAATTTTTCCTCATTTATTAGAAATGGAACAAAAGCCAGAAACCTGCCTTCAGCAGACACATGCATGTGGGGTGAGGTGGGGACAATAAAATTAGATTCTAAACAAGTGTAAGGAACGATGACAGGCTTTTGCATTTTGAGTGTTTCCACTCCATGCCAGTCAAAACACATAAACAGTCTCTGGTTTTCTTGATGTTTACTGAGAAATAAGCCCCATTCGGTCTTATTCCAAGGTAAATGTGTGCAAGATTGCCTCCTCTGCAGAATGTTCTTGTTGCCATTCACAGCATCATGTTGCCGTGAGTTCCGCAGGCTGATGCCATTTAAAAAAAAAGAAAAGAAAAAAGCCCGGACTCGTAGTCTGACCGTTGCTTTCAACCCTCATTCTGGATTTTAGTTATCCTGAGAGGGAGGGAGGGAAGGCGCAGTTCCTCAGAATGTTGTTTTTTAAACATTTCTGACTCACCAGAAGGGCCAGGCATGGGAAGGGAAGTTTCCTCACTGGTATTTGAGATTTTATTTAGCCCCTCAGTATGCCTGTCTGGGTAATAATATATGTTATAACTAAGCTGATTTTATGTGGTATTTTCTTTTGAAATGTTTTTTTTTAAATAGAAAGGCAAGGGAAAAGGGATTGGCCTATATATTTAGGAAGACATAGATCTATTGGTGAGGCTGAAGCCGTTTGCAGCTGGTGATATATGCAGAGCCTGGGGGAGCAAAGCAACACCGGTGGGGCTCTGGATTCAATCCAGCAAGTTGTTTTCCGCTGGGATCAGCCAGGAAGTTATTGCTCCATATTGAAGCATCAGGAGCGATGGGGGTGTCTTGGTGACATGCTAGACAGATAGCAGCAGCCCAAATTGGATCGGTCGCTTGCTATTTATTTTTTTAAAACTTCTGTCAAGGTCACTACCATAATGGGAAAACACTCGCAAACTGGTGGAAGGCTTGGGGTGGTGGTTCCGGAGCTTTCCTGGTACTGTCCACAGCTGGGGGGAGGAAGCAAAGCAGGGGCCACCATTCTGTTTCTTAAAAAGCTGTGGTGTTGTTGCTGGCCCTTTCACGGATTGCTGCCTTGTCGTGGCGAAGGGACTTGAGTAATTCAGAGAAGCTATGGGCTATGCCGTGCAGGGACACCCAAGATGGATAAGTCATAGTGGAGAGTTCTAAATAAACATGATCCGCCTGGAGTAGGAATTGGCAATGCCACTCCAGTATCTTTGCCAAGAAAACTACATGGACAGAAACCAAAGGCTGAAAGATATGACGCTAGAAGATGAGCCCCTTAGGTCGGAAGGCGTCCAACATGCTACTGAGGAAGAGCAGAGGACAAGGACAAGTAGCTCCAGAACTAATGAAGTGGTTGGGCCAAAGCCAAAAGGACGCTCAGCTGTGGACGTGCCTGGAAGTGAAAGGAAAGTCCAATGCTCCAAAGAAAAATACTGCTTAGGAACTGGGAACGTAAGATCTATGAACCTTGGTAAGCTGGATGTGGTCAAACAGGAGACGGTAAGAATAAACATTGACATCCTGGGTGTCAGTGAGCTAAAATTGATGGGAATGGGTGAATTCAATTCAGATGATTATCATATCTACTATTGTGGGCACGAGTCCCATTGAAGAAATGGACTAACCCTCATAGTTAACAAAAGAGTGGGAAAAGCTGTACTGGGATACAATCTCAAAAATGATAGAATGATTTCAATACGAATCCAAGGCGGATCTTTCAACATCACGTAAGCCACGTTTATGGACCAACTACCGATGCTGAAGACGCTGAAATTGACCAATTCTATGAAGATTTATAACACCTTCTGGAACTGACACCAAAGAAAGATGTTCTTTTCATTCTAGGGGATTGGAATGCTGACAAACCTAGACGGCATCTTAAAAAGCAGAGACATCACCTTGCCGACGAATATCTGCATAGTCAAAACTATGGTTTTTCCAGTAGTGATGTGTGGAAGCGAGAGCTGGACCATAAAGAAGGTTGATGCTGAAGAATTGATGCTTTTGAATTGTGGTGCTGGAGGAGACTCTTGGGAGTCCCCTGGA